AAAAAAATAAAACGAAACAAAAACAAATAGAATTTGTCATAGCAATGGACAAAGTGGTATTTACATTAATAGATAAAATTGTTGTCTTTGGCAATATGATTAGAAGTCAAAGGAAATACAGAGTGCAATTACGCCTCTATATTGACATATTAGCAGGGTGCACATGCCATCAGACCGAATATTTCATCACAAACCAAATGGACGCCATTACTTTCATCTTAAACAACTCAAACACGTAACAGAATGGCAGTTAAAAGGAACCTTTCAACCAAAAAAAACTAACAAAAAAAAACACTATAGGATGAAAAAGAAACACTTTGCCTCCTATTAACATTTTTTGGCTGGCTCTTCTTGATGCTTTTTAACATGTTTCAAGTTCCTCCGAAAGAACTAGAAAGGAAAAGTTCCGTAGTGAGTGTTGTCTTTGAAGGAAGGCAGTGTATAAAGGACTCATAGCTCTCTCTACCGGTTTCCCAGTTTGAAGCATATTGAATGGAAATGTGATATGACATATGTTTAAAAAGACCAGCAGACAAGGTTATAATCAGGGTTATTTTGCGTCAAATGTCTAGCTCGGTTAGGGAAAGGCATGCCAACTGGAGACGTCACATTAACACTCATGGGTCAGATTTAACATTCAACACGCTACAAAACATCGGGACGAACCATCATCATCATCGTCAGATGAACAGGGAAGGCAGTGTGACTTCATGAAACACAGCAATGCAGTGTGATATTAACAAATATAATGGAGAATATCTTATACATGAGTACTTGACAGAAATGCTACAACTTATTGACATGTTTGTGACTGACATATCAAGTATGCGTCGTCCGTTTTGCAGTGTATAGAGCAGAGATGTTCACAAGTCTTTAACTTGGAGTCCGAGTCAAGTCTGAAGTCTTTATCGCTGGAGTCTGAGTCAAGTCTCAAGTCTTTGGTCACGAGTCCGAGTCGAGTCTCAAGTCATTTAATGGCTCGCTAAAAAAATCCCATTCATAATCCTCATGTACTGAAATCTTCCTATTTGCAAATCTATTTTATAGGCTATAGACAAAATATATGATCTAAAAAAAAGAGGTGTTAAGATGTAAGGTTAATGTACATCCAGCCTGTTATGTTTTAATTTAAAACAGGTTTTCTGTAATCAAATTCTATAATAAGAGTCCAATCTACCATGACACAGAAGGAAATATTTGACAGATATTACAAAACCACACAAATAAGTATTTCGTTATGATATAAATCAGGGTATTCAATGAAAGTTCCAAGAGGCATGGCCTCTATAGTTTCCAAGCAGAGGTCTGGACAAAGGACATTTTTTTTTACATGTATTGTATTTTTACATTTAGATGCACGCAAGGCCATGTGACAGAATAAAATACTGTTTTTTTTTTCAGGGTTTTCCTCCTGAAATCTATACTATTTTAATAGTTTACTTACAAGCATTATCTACTAAAAACAATGTAGCTACAATAATCAAAACGTTCTCATCTTGAGCAAAAAAAAAAAAAGAAAGATAACTTGCAGTTTCAATGTTTAAGTTCTATCCTAGTCGTCTAACAACAATTTTCCCAATTATAATTAGGCTACATGATTCTTTTGAAATGTTCTTAGCCTACATATTAATAATGATAAATCACATCTGACAGATAGTAAGAAAAATAACTATATGTGCAGCATTGTTGTTTTCTGTTGTGTTTTAATGAAAATAATCTATAATTTTGGTGTTCACCGTGTTTCCGCAGCCATCTGCAGCTATTAAACTTGGCGCTGGCGCGCCTCCGGAGAGAGCGAGAAGGTGCACGGTGCTGATAGGGCTTGAATAAAGCGCGTTTGGCTTTAGATAAAAATACTAGAGGATATAGCGCTGGAAGATATTTACCATAAACGACCCTGAGCGTTTGTTATGTGATCCGCTCTGCTGTTTTGACGTGCTGCTCACTTAAACTAGTGCTGCTGTTACGGCTCGCGGTCCGGATGGATGCGGCGGTCCGCCTTTTGAATATCAGGTATATAAGTATTTAAAGGAGACATTATGCCCCTTTTTACAATATGTAATATAAGTCTCTGGTGTCCCCAGAATGAGTCTGTGAAGTTTCAGCTCAAAATACTCCCCAGATCAATTATAATATCATTTTGAAAATGCCTATTTTCAGCAATATACATTAAATAAATCAATAAATCCACTGCTCTCTTGTCTCCTCTGAGGCTGGGACTCTAAATAGTGTTCTGTGCTCATCTGTGCAGCCAAAGACAGAACAGTTAGCATGTTTTGCTCAAACTTTCGCCATGGCGTTAGAGCTGGTACACCGTTGTCGCTTGCGAAATCGAAATGACGGCGCCGTGGGTGGAAACTTACAGATTAAGGGGCGGTGATATTATAATGAGATCCCTTTGCCACGTCAAAGCGCACTCGTTTTCTCAGACGCTTGCTGAAAAAGGCTTACCAAAACAAAGTTAATGGGTTAATATTTTTCACGTTTCCTTGGTTGGTAGATGCACCGGGGACCTGATTATAGCACTTAAAACCTGGAAAAGTCAGATTTTCATGATATGTCGTCACCTTTAAGAATAAAAGACTCGAGTTGCTTTTAAAATTTTTAAAAGTCGAGTCAAGTCTGGAGTCATTTCAGGTCAAGTCTGAAGTCAAGTATGAAGTCTATTAAAAATGCGACTCGAGTTCGAGTCACTAACTCGCGTGCCCATCTCTGGTGTAGAGTTATTACAGGCTTTGGCACTGAATCCTTAAGTTCTTTACTATACGTTAAAACGATAAAAGTGCAATTCGTTGAGGTCGTGAAAATATATACACAAACGTTTGCACTGAGCTCTGGTATCACTTGTTTTTATTGTCTATAAGTGCTTAAATATATATGCGTGGAGGTGTAAATAACCGTCTGACTCCCTGTACCGAGAACAACTGAATCAATACTGATGACTCCTGAACAGTGCTACATGTAAATACAGGAATAAAATGAAAGAAAAAAAAAAACTGCAGATCCAAAGTCTCGTGGAACAAAATGGAAGACCCTGAATAAATCACAGACATGCACATCTGGATTACATATGGAAGTAAAGCAGGCACGAAGCCGGAAGGGGACCGACACTCACTACGAACTTCTCCTTGACGACATTGACATTGACATAGCGGGTATTCGTGGGGGCCGCTAGCGTGGACCGAGACAGCCCGAGCCCCAGTCCTCGTATTGCAGAGAGAGTTTCCCAACAGTCGGTGTTTGTCCCTGAAGAAGGTAATTGTTAAAGATGCCTGCTTCAACACAAAGGCGATGAGGACGACAAATGGAAATCAAATCCGACAAAAACAACGAAAGAGACTAGGCCAATTGGCACATTTATATATGAAAATAATTCATGCTCCATGCTAAATACATTATTTACCTTACATGAACTTTGATTTTTTTTAAAAACGGTCTTGTTTTATCTTTACAGAACCCATGCAACACGATTTGGAAAATCCTGCTGGCTACATTGCTTAAATTAAGAAAGGAAAATGGTCTAGTGTTACTTTTATACAGTGTTTATCCTGACTGGATGAAATTGCTTATTACATCAGGAGGGTTTCAAATAAAAAAAAAAGTAAAAAAGTAAACAAATGAACAAACACAAAACAACTCCACAGTCATTAATTTCTGCTATTAAAACACAATTGGCAGGTATTGTAGCTTTAGCTCCGAGTTTTCATTTTCATTGTGCCGAAGAAAGAGTATCACCATCCACTATCTGTTTAGATGGAAAATATCACTCAATTTGATTGCTTAGGAAAAAAACGTGGGCAGTTTTAAGAGACTTATTGGTAAATGTATCACTTTTGACTCCAAAAAGCACTACGACAAAAGCTTATGGCTTTACTCTCATCCCAGTGAACTATGATTCATACGAGCTAAACGACAACTATGAGTGTTTTCCACACGATGCTTTAACAACCAGAGCATCAAGGGGAAGTGACATCAGAGAAACTGCTTGAGGATTGTCTTTGGCACTGCCCTGTGCTTCTAAAACATCTTATATTACAGCAGAGATTACTATAACCCATAATTATCACTAACTCGAGAACTACTCTGACTGCAGAACATGCTGCAGAACACAATTTTTTGTCATGTTTTTAAAGGATTAGTTCTCCCCAAAATTACAATTCTGTCATCCTTTATTCACCCTTATGTGGTTCCAAACCCAAAGACTCATCTTTGGAACACAAATGAAGATATTTTTAATGAAATGTGAGTGATTTCTGTCCAATTGAAAGTCTTTTCAATTCAGCCAAAACTCTCACGTTTCAAAACGTTCATAAAGACAAAAAAAAACAAACAAGTGGTTTAATCCAAGTCTCCCGAAGAAACACAATCAAGAACCTCATAGGTTCTTGCGTGTCAAGCAAGTATGCTTGAGCTTCTGTTTGCTGTTTGCTTAATGTGTATGTGAATAAAAGCCAAAATTAAATATGTTCATCATATAAAGCAAGACTTGGAATAAACCACTTAATTTATGTGGATTTTTTTTCTTTTGAACGATCTATTCAAGTTTTGGTTGAATAGACTTTCAGTGGAGGGACAGAAATCTTTCAGATTTGATTGAATTTAATTTGTGTAAAACAAAACTGTGTTCCAAAGATGAACGAAAGTCTTATGGATTTGAAATGAGGGTGGGTAAATGATGACAGAATTTAAATTTTGGGGTGAACTGTCCCTTTAACTATGACAATGGGGCAGGACAATTTTTACTATCACTTTTTTCTCAGTCGAATGAAATGCTTTACTGAATATCTTAAAAAGGGAAGGCTATGGCTTCAATCTCCGTAGATTAAAAAAGAAATCACAATAAAATGAACTAAAAGTGAACTAAAACAAGGAACCCTCTGTAAAATGTTACCTATAAAAATAGGAAAACAAAGTGATTGTTGATATTGCCACAAATCAGTAGAATTCACCTGATGTCCTGGAAAAAAATAGTAAATTCTATTCAAAGTGATGTTTTTTTCTCTCTTTATAATACAGTCAGTTCATTATTTTTGCTCTTTCTGCCCCTTTGCCGTCCGGTTGGTGATATTGTTCAAACAGGCCCTGACTCCCGCCAAATGAAGCAAGGATCCGGCCGCCTCCTTCATCTCCTCGTCGTCACTTTCCGGAGGCTTCTCCGTGCGCCTCTTTTTTAGAGGAAGAGTGTCACTGGCCACTCTCTGTTTGACTTTCGTCAAATGTTGCCATTTCTTGTGCTGGGCCAGAGCGAGGGCATCCACGGACCATTCCTTGGGCTCCTTCTTGATTTTGCTCTTGTCGTCCTCCTCGGCATCGCTGCCGGCCTCGTTGGCGTGGAAGCTCACCTCGCTTCCATCGCAGTGGGCCTCTTCTTCGACATCCGAGCTGGAAGATTTGGCAAAACTGTAGGTGTGGTCATCCTTGGGGTCGCTGCTGAACAGTGGAGAGTTACAGGTGGGCTCGCCATCACTGGTTATTCTGTATCCGAGTACTGACCTATTAACACAGACGAGAGATGCATTAGTGCAAGTGCACACATGCTGTTCCTGTTGTACTGTGTAAGTGCTGAGTAAAACAAATGAACTACATGCACTTAGTGTGTAATTATTTTGTGGAGCTGCTTGTAATTATACTACTATAGCAGTTAATTAAAATAATATGTGTAACATGGACACTCTGTACTGTTTCGCAGTTTTTTGCACAGATGGCAACAACCTCTGGAACACATGAATAAATTCACCCCATTTGTTATTATATAAAGTGAGTAAATCTAAAACACAAAATCTGTCAAGAATATGCCTAGGTAATATTTCACCTAAAATCAAAAGAAAAGAAAAAAAGAAATGAACAATCATATGTACATACACTACCTTTCAAAATGTTTTTGAAAAAGTCTCACCAATGCTTCATTTATTTGATCAAAAATACAGTAATATTGTGAAATATTATTGCAATTTAAAATAATTGCTTTCTATTTGAATATATGTATGAAAATGTAATTTATTCCTGTGATGCAAAGCTGAATTTCAGCATCATTCCTCCAATCTTCAGCCTCACATGATCCTTCAGAAATCAGTTTAATATGCCAATTTAGTACTCAAGAAACATTTCTTATCATTATCAATATGAAAAACAGTTGTGCTGCTTAATTTCTTTTTTAAAACCACCTCTTTTTATTTAAATTTGTGCTATGTGCTGGTAAGCACTGCAGCCTCCAAGCGCCTCATCCTTAAATGTTAAAAACAATTAAACATTTGTCTCTAAAACACACTTGAGCTTTGAAGCACCTCTTCAGTTGGCCAACAACATCATTAAAAAGCAAATCAATTGGTGGATTACAAAACTCTCCACTTTTGGCTAAAATAATATGATGAAAAATGGCAAATAAAGACAGTTGAGCTCTATTTATGCCTCTTACCCTCAGAAACAGTAATGAAGTGTCTTTTAAGTGATGCTTGTTTTGTGCTTCTGGTCACAGTTTATATAGCAGCAGCTCTAAGTGACAAAGAACATCCTGCCGCGCTTTGCAGATATGTTAAAACTCCCTCTGTGGTTCGAAAAATAATCCTAAGAGCTTTTCCACTTCCTGTCTCATATGTGCATTTACGACTCATAAATTATAGCCACAGCACAGCAGGCTAAAGAAACTGCTTCAATAATTAATGCCTAAATGCAGTGTCACTCATTTTAAAGAGGCAAAGAGGCTGTTTTACTCTTTGGACTGTATGCAGCCTGTCACTGCACGATATGTGCATCATACAGCAATTGAGAGCATGAGCAGACCTGAATGCTCTTTTCATCCCAGAGGTAATCAGAGATATTTATCAGGTCTAGGCTTTTGTTTTATGCTAACAAAATAATAAATCTTAGAGCAAACAAACATGTCTGAGTCATATTTCACTACAAATTCAAAAGGAATAAATAAGAAAATTTATTTTAGCATCATCAGGACATTGTCTTCATAAGTAATTTTCATGGTTGTGTTGCAATAAATGTTATTTGTTATTTTAGATATCCTCTCTCATCTTTTTAAGTGGGAGAACTTGCACAATTGGTGGCTGACTAAATACTTTTTTTCCCCACTGTATGTGTATATATATATATATATATATATACAGACAATACAAGCTACATAATTTTTTTTTAAGTAAATTGACCACCACAATGAAGAAAGGAAAGTAGGGGGAAATGTGCTTAATTGTCATTAAAATGATGTCCAGTGCCAAAAATATTAATTGTTCTACAAATCCTAAATATTGTATGCAACTCTCATTACATATATGCAAAAACGATGTTTTATTCCCTTTCATTTATGATGATTAAATGATTCTGAAGAAGTCTTTTCACAACTTTTAAAACAGTTTTATGGAGGTTTTGAATTTTGTTTAAAAGAGTGGGGCCTTAGTCCGGATAGGACTTTGCGCTGATGTCTGCAATGACCTGGCTGCTCTGATCTAATGAAATGTGAGGAACACAGCAGCCAGACTTAAGAGAGTCAAAGGGAGAGGTAAGATATGAGCCAAAGCACTGCAGTGTAAGCATGATTCTGATTGGCTGATAAACCTGTCAATCATGTAATGAGTCGGGAAATGGGCTGAAAGTGACCAGAGGGACAGGACTGACCTGACAGCGGCTGTCCTGCTGACAATGGGGTTGATGGGAAGGGGTCGGATTCCTGGGAAGAGGCCCTGGCTCATCATTCGAGCTCCGTTCTGAATCACTCCCTGAGGGACTGAGGAGAGAACACAGATAATGCGCATTAATACAAACGCTACCTGAAAGCATATGGGAGCAAAAATACACAATGTAAACAATCCTCCATTCATCATGTATAACAGCAGACATACAAAATCCATTCAAAAGCACCACACCATGTTTAAGCATTAAACTCCAGTTGTTGATGCTGCAAAGATGAAATTTCCCTTATAGTTTCAAATAGTCTCAAACAGACAAGAGCTGTCTGAAATAATCTGTTAGGCTGGCTTTTAGAAAATCTTTTTTCAAAAATTTTTCTAAGAGTGAAAATATTGTCAAGATTTCTATATTCAATCATGAAGCATAACCATAAACCCAATAGATGATTATGGCTTTTCTGGTTTACTCATAATGGGAGATGAAAGTAACCCAGACAAAAAACAGAAAACAAGAATTGTGCTGCATCTGAATGAAAGGGTTAGTTCTGCCAAAAATGAAAATTCTGTCATCAATTCTCACCCTCATGTCGGTCGAAATCCGTAAGACCTTCGTTCATCTTCAGAACACAAATTAAAATATTTTTGATGAAATCTGCGAGCTTTCATGAGTCATGGTGAACGTGCATCGAAGACTGACATAGAAGAGAAGAAATATTGAATAAAGTCATTATTTTTGTTTTCTTTGCGCACAAAAAGTATTCTCGCTTCATTAATTTCGGTTGAATCACTGATGTCACATGGACTATTTTATCGATGTCCTTACAACCTTTCTGGGCCTTGAACATGTTAGTTCTGTTGCTGTCTACACTCTTAAAAATAAAGGTGCTTCACGATGCCATAGAACAACCTTTTTTGTCTAAATGGTTCCATAAAGAACCTTTCTGTTTAACAAAATGTTCTTTGTGGCGAAATAAGTTTCTTCATATTATAATTCAGATTTGACTGAATGGTTCTTTGTGGAAACAAAAATGGTTCTTCTATGGCATCGCTGTGAAGAACCTTTTAAGCACCTTTATTTTTAAGAGTGTAAGCAGGGTCAGAAAGCTCTCGGATTTCATTTAAAATATCTTAATTAGTGTTCCAAAGATGAATGTAGGTCTTACGGCCGGGTTTGGAACGACATGAGGATGAGTAATTAATGAGAGAATTTTAATTTTTAGGTGAACTAACCCTTTAAACATTTTTGAATTTTGATTTTTTTTTGCCATTTTTGAATTTTTTTTTTGCCAGGTCTCGTAAATCGATCACTTGATTTTACAAGGAAGCGGTCTGTTATTTGATTCCTTGCATTGTCCAATAAAATGCTGATAATGCTACATGTAACAAGTGACCTTCTTAAAAAAAACTAAACAAAAAAACAATTGACAAGTCAGATTAAACCATTAAAATATGAGAAGTATGTCAAGAAGAAGAATACAATTACACAATATCACACACACACACACACGCACACTTTAAAGGGTTAGTTCACCCAAAAATGAAAATTCTGTCATTAATTACTCACCCTTGTGTTGTTCGAAACCCGTAAGACCTTCGTTCATCTTTGGAACACAATTTAAGATATTTTTTATGAAATATGACGGCTCGAAAATGTGGAATAAAGTCGTTATTTTTGTTTTCTTTGCGCAAAAAGTATTCTCGTAGCTTCGTAACTTTACAGTTGAACCACTGATGTCACACGGACTACTTTGTCGATCATCTTGGTACTTTTCTGGACCTTGAACGTGGTAGTTACCTTGCTGTCTATGCAGGGTCAGAGAGCCCTCAGACTTCATCCAAAATATCTTAAATTGTGTTCCGAAGATGAACGAAGGTCTTACGGGTTTGGAACAACACGAGGGTGAGTAATTAATGACAGAATTTTCATTTTTGGGTGAACTAACCCTTTAACAAATATTTATTATAAAATGTAATAAATATGTATTATTCTCTTTATTACATAGGCCTTTTTCATGGAGGTCACACTCCGCATCCAAAAAACTTTCATGCATCCCCGTTATGTGAATCAGTGCAGCATCCTCTTTTAATGAGGGTTAACCAGGGTTAACCACAATTTTGGCGCTGCAGTCAGACAAACCTAATGGCCGCTGCCCTTCTCTCAGTCCAAGTACGGGGCAACATATAGCTCCATCTGGAAAACGAACCTGGACTGGTAGCAGATGGCAAACACAAAAAAAGGATAAAATAACCATCCATTCAGAATCCAGCACACTGATCTGGCCATTAGGCGGGAGCATTGTTGCCTAGGCAACCGGTCCCCCTATGTATGCCATAGTCACGGAACTCAACTAGGTGACAACGAGATGCGGCTGCGAAGCCGAAAGGAACATCTGGGCTGGCTGGGTGCCCTCTTCACCCGCCTCTCCACCCTGAGGGAACACACTGCCATAACAAGGTGAAGCGATGCCCTGTGACAGAGGCCGTCCCAGCTAACCGAGTGCACAATGAGAATTGACAGAGATGTGCGGCTCTCCACCAATTAGCGTGGATGGGCTAGCAAACTGAATTGCTAATGATCTCGCCCCATTGTGGGCGGTTCATGTCAAGCCATCCATCCAGGCATCAGAAACAACAGCAGGACACAAAAGCAAAGCGCATTCACAGTGCAGCCACATCAGGAAGGAAGCCAGTGAGGCTTTTGTGCCTGGGGATGTTCCCTCTTTTATGTGGATGAGAGCTGTGAAACAAAGGCGAAAAAGTGTTTGCTGGCTCAATAGAAAAGAAATACAGATCTGTGATGGCAAATGAATGCGCCATTGACCGAGATTTTCTATGTGGCATTATGCGACAGCAGGTAATAAATAAAGTACCGTGGACGGTGACTTCCAGGAAGCTGGGCACACACGCGAGCTGTGCAAACATTAGCAGTGATTGGGCGGCATGATGCCCATGGGAAGGTGTCCTGGTGCTCTCACAGGGCCACTGCAGAGGCAGTCAGCACACAAATGCTATCAGCTCTCGGCCTTCCTCTCAAGCGTATTAATGTCGGTGGCAGATGGCCCTGGAAACGGCGGCCCTAATGCACAATACTGTTCACAGCAGTCAATCTGTAAATGAGCCGTCCTGACAGGACTCCTCCTTGGGCAAACTACACATTCAGTAAGAAGTACCTTAAAAACGCTGCTTATACAAAGAGTTTCAGGGCGAGAGTGCTTTTGGCCATTGTTTTCTCACAATACAGCTGGGGGCTGCGTGATTTGTACATTCGGGCCTATGACACGCACCACTGCTTCTGTAGAGCGAGCGCTTCTTTTCTCACAAAAGCCAAACAGCAGGGACTCCACATCCTCTCAAGAATCAGCCTCCGCACATGGGCTCTATGGCCACTGGGCTTCTTCTGTATAAACACCAGTGGAGGAGGAGGTGTACTGAAGGAGCTTTTGTATTCAGCTGCACACTTCTGTATGAACAGGTTCAAGTAAGCAAGGTCAGAGGCCATATAGAATGACCGACCAAAAGCTTGACTTGTATCCGAGTTTGATATAGTGAGAAAATCCTCAGCTTTTTGGCTGTTTTTGTGCAACACAATAGAGACCGACCCAAAACGAACAGTGTTTATTTGTGTATTAGTATCAATCCAGCATAATAATCTGAGATGGCTTACAATAAAAAAAAATAGTCAATTGTCTTTTAAAGGGAGAGTTCAATGCTGAAAATTTTGTCAGCATTTATTCACCCTCATGCCGTTCCAAACCTGTATGAGTTTCTTTCTTATGTTGAACATAGAAGATATTTTGAAGAATGCTGGTAATCAAACAGTTGATGGTCCTCATTGACTTTCATGGTATTTCTTTCCCTACTATGGAAGTCAATGGTGACCAACAACTGTTTGGTTCTTCAGAATATCTTCTTTTGTACATACAACATAAGAAAGAAACGTATACAGGTTTGGAACCACATGAGGGTGAGTAAATGATGACAACATTTTCATTTGAAGTAAAAGCACTACCATATTCCCAAAAATAAAAATTCTGTCATAATTTACTCATCCTCAACCTACAAATAGGACTTTCTGAAAAAAAATCATAGAAGTTCCATAAAAGCAGTCCATATTATTTATATAATTTTAGTCTTTGAACTACACAACAGAGTTTGTGAGGTACATTTTTCTGAACAATTTAATATCAATTAATAAATACAAAATATTAATTGTACTATTATTTAAAATGTCTAAATGTATTATTGTTAAATTTCAAAATTAAAATTGTAAGTAAATTCTAAAAATAATTCCTTTAAATAAATGTTCTTTTGTGTAAAAAGAGAGAAAAACAAAAGTCGCACTGTATTAGGGTTAAGCAGTCACAAAAATTACCAAAAAAGGCAGGCAATCTGGAGCCAAATAAAATAAAATGCACCAATTCCTGTCTTCATTTTCTTTTGTTCTGGTGCTGAACTCATTTGGGAGCCATATGGAAATCTCTTATTCCAAGACTAAAAACTGAGCCAAACATATATCGCCTGATTTAAAATCAGCTCTAGGAATGTCTGAGCCATAAATATCCAATTCAGTGAGTAAAAAAGAATACAGATTAACACCAGCAAGACTTTATGGTCACTACAGCTTTGTAGAAATGCGCCTGAGAAACAAGCATTTACATGCCTGCTCATTTAATCTAATACTGCATCCTCTGGAATCACTCCTCCAAGGTATAATGAGCGAGACACAGTGAGAAAAGAGATAAAGACAGATAAACACACAGACAGACACTGAAAGGAAGAGGAAAGGCGACGAGTAATGCAGATGACAAATTCCTTGTTCTGTAAACTTGGCGCCTGCTGTTGAGCAATAAAGCCCATGCATTTAGCTTAATTCTTTTCCCAGACGAACTATAGGAAGTATATTGGATTTGAGGGGATCGGTTTTCAGCTCGAATAGTTGCAGCGTGATAAATGTCAGCATTAGTCGGAATTAAAAGGAAGGAGCAGTCAAGTGATACACTGCTATCTTGAGGCATTGAGGCAGGAATAGCAGTGCAAAACGATGCCGGCGTCTTAAACAATTCTCCTACACGCAACAGAGAGCACTCGGCTGTGCTGA